CACACCGGAAGCGCTGGCGGCGCACGGGGCATGCGCGGAGGGGCGTGGTCACAACAAACCACGCCCGCTATGAAAGGCGCGGAGGGTGTGGCCGAGGGCGGGCTGTGGAATGATTGACAGCTATGTGGCTGTGACCCTCATAAGGTATCTGTGACCCAAATGGGGGTGTGTATGTTACCCCGATGGGGGAGTATCTGTGACCCCTTTGGGAGAGTGTCTGTGGTTTATAAGTTGCTTAAGAGAAGGCAGCGTGGAGTATCTGTGACTCAGGGGATATCTGTGACCCTCCCGGAGGCATCTGTGACTCAGGGGCATCTGTGACCCCCATGGGGTGGGTATCTGTGACCCAAATGGGGGTGTGTATATGACCCATATAGGGGGGTATTTGTGACCCCTATGGGAGGGTGTCTGTGGCCCCCAAGGGCATCTGTGACCCCCGTGGAGTATCTGTGACCCAAACGGGGGTGTATATATGACCCATATAGGGGAGTATCTGTGACCCCTATGTGAAGGTGTCTGTGGCCCCCAAGGATATCTATGACCCCCCATGGGGTATCTGTGACCCCTCCAGGGGTATCTGTGATTCAAGGAGTATCTGTGACCCCCTCGCAGGTACCTGTGACCCCAGTGGGAAGCTTTTTGTGACCCCCCAAGAGTATCTGTGACCCAAATGGTGTGTCTGTGACCCCCATGGGGTATCTGCCCACCCAGGCATGTGTCACCCACGGGTGGGGGTATCTGTGACTCATGGTGGGTATGTGACCCTTATGGGTATCAGTGACCCCAATGAAGGGGGTTTCTTTGACCCTCATGAGGTATCTGCCCCCCGGGAGCACCTGTTACCCATGGGTGAGTATATCTGTCACCCCTGGGGGGGTATCTGGCACACTCACGGGGATATCTGTCCCCCTCTCCACGGCATCTGTGATCCCCAGAGGCATGTCTGGCCTCCCATCATGTGTGACCTTGGAGGTATTTGCCCCTCTTGAGGTATCTGCCCCTTTGAGGCATGTCTGACACTAGAGGGTTTCTGTTCCCATTGAGACACGGGTGACTTCCCCCCCCTTAGGGTATCTGCCCCACTGGAGTATCTATGATGCCAATGGGGAGTCCTTGCTCCCATCCTGTAGCCATCTGTGACCCCACGGAGGTACCTGTCCCCGGCAGGGACATCTCTTATCCACTGATGTCCCCTCCAGGACACTCCTGGGGACCCTGCAGTGTTGGGGGGCGGGTCCTGCCCCTCGTGCTGGTG